CCCCTCCCTCCAGAAAGATTTCCGCCTTTCCTGACCCCCCTCCGATGGAAGGCTCCCCTCCTCCTCCTCCTTCCCTGGCTGTAACTTTGTTTAAATTGGCTTTTTCCTTCTTTTTCTCTCGGGTGGCTACAGAGTTTCCTTCCTTCCTTTGTTTTCTTTCCTTCCGATCCCTCTTTTCTCCCCCCAACCCCCACCCCAACCCTCTTCCCGGCTTCCCTACAACGCCCCGGCGCTGCGGTGCATCCTCCTCTCCCATAGATGTCCCTGCAGAAGGGCGAGAGGCTGGGCAGAATAAACCCCAGCTGGGTGGTGGTGAGGTGAGGGGGGGGGGTGTTTTTTTTCCCCTCTGCCAGGCTGGGATCCTCCCAGCCTTGGCCTAACGCGGGGGGCGGGGGGGCGGGAGGGGGGGTGGCAAGAGGAGAGGAAAGAGAAGAACAGGCTGGACGGTGCAAAAAAAAAAAACCAAACAGGATTTATGCCCAGAAGGATCTAAGCAGGAAAATCCAGGTATGGCGTATTTGAGTCCTTCTTCAGTCTTCAAAGCTGTCCTTCTGGAGTAGAACAGGGGGGGGGGATTCGAATCCAGACCCGAAGCTTTGAGGGGCGGGGGGCTCCTTTGTGCGTAGGTTATGCACCCGCCACCCCACTTTCCGGATTCTCCTCCCTGGCACCAGTTGTGTCGGTTGGTGTTAAAGACCCCAGCCGGGAGGGGTTCATCCAGCTGAGCCTCTGCCCCCAGGGTTGGGGAGGGGGGGGCGATTGAGGCGCTCTTTCCCACCCACCCCCAAAACCAGAAAGGGGAAACGGCGGGTTTGACCCAACAAACTGCCTTGTTTTGCAAGCGCACAAAGCTGTCGACACCTCTGGTGTGCAACAGTTTTCCTCCGAAAACAAAGTTTTCGGCAGAACCGAAGGGGCTGCAAACCTCCCAATGGGGTGTGTGTGAATTTACTGGAAGGGACGGGGTGTGTGTGTGTGTGCCATTTTGGGTGGGTGGGTGTGCGGGAAGAGGTGGAGAGGGATAAAATCCTGTGGCATGGATGACAAGAGAACGGATTGAATTCTTGAGGCGGGTGGTTAGGATTTCTGGCTGTGTAGAGCAGGGATCTCAACACCCCCTTCCCCCTTTCCCTTATTTTGCAAGGCTGGGGAACATAGGTGCTGAAGTCCCCGCTCGGGCAGGCTCCCCACTCTTAGTGTCTTGCAGGCGGGCCGTGTTTTCAAAGCGAGTAGGTGGGAGCGGAGGAGGCCCAGTGATGAGGAGACGGCTACATACATCTTTGGGGTGGGCGCCCCTCCCTTCCTCTCCCCTGGCCCCCTCTGGAAGTTTCCAGCTGTTGTTTAAAAGCAGAGAGGTGTTTTTGTCAAAATACTGGTTGGGCGGCTTCTTTCTTGCAAAACAAGCTGCTGCTTTGTCAGCAGGTAAATCCTTGCATGTACGCAGACACACAAACACACACACACACACACACAGAGTGCCATCAGGGCTGCCGTTGCCTCATTTGCTTCCTGGGTGCAGCCTGATCTCTCTTCCAAATGTTGAAGTGCAGCATTTCCTGCCGTGGACCTTGCTGGACAACAGTTGGCCCAGGAACAGCTGGATGACCTCTGGTCGACCCAGGCCTGTCTCTGGGTGCATTCCTTTGGGCGACAGGAGGAAACATCCAGGGGCGGTGGCGGCGGCACTACACCCAAATCTCCAGGGCGGGGTCCAGATGTCCAGGCCAGGGCTGCAGGGGTCCCACACAGCTTCCAAACCCAGAAGTGTGAGAGTTTCGTGGACGTTGAATTGTGGACCCGTTTTGTGCACAGGTAGTTCTCAACTTACAGCCATCCGTTTAGCGACTGAAGCGACATCAGGCCTGAAAAAGGGGCTTAGCACTATTCCTCACCCTTCTTCTGTCTGTCACCGCATTCCCACAGCCACGGGGTCAACATTTGGGCACTCTTCCAGGCGAAGAGAGAAAGGCAAGGCAGGTGAGGGGTTGGAAAAAACAAAACACACCCTGATTTTCTAACCTTCTTTGTTTCGTTGACTCTTTTGCTCAGGGCCGGCTGGATGTTAAAATTCCTGCATTTTCCACAAATACAAGCCACTGTCTCAACTTTGGGCCATGAAGCTGGAGAAAAGTAGATTTCTCGCACGTCCCTTTGCAGAAGAGAAGGCCAAAGCTGACCAAAACAAAACAAGAATCCCCTCCACAGCTTGAAGGACAAAATAAACCACACAGACACACACACACACACAAAGGTCAATAAAACACAGAATTTCCATTTCTACTAATCCGTTAAAAATTAATGCCCTGAAAAAGACACTGGGATTTTGGTGTGTGCGCACGTTTTCTTTTCTCTCCCTATATATATATATATATATATATACACACACTTTTTTTTTAAAGAAAAGCTTTAAAATATCACCCATAGAGAAAACTCATCACCTTTTTAATGCTATTTTTTAAAATTTCACGAGCATAAATTTATTTTATTGTAAGGATAGCTTTGATTTTTTTTTTTTTTTTCATAAAAAGAAAAGCATTTTGTATTCCTTTTTCTGGGATAAGAAAGACATTTCCTTTTTTTAAAAAAAGTTTTTGTCTGTTGATCTTTATCCAGACCTGGTACAGATGAAAACTTGAAAGCGAAGGCCACGAGAGAGGCAAACACACCCGCCCCAGGTTTCAAATAATTGAGTGTAAAATCGAGGAGAAAAATGGCAGTATTGAATGTTCAGTGACCCTCCTAGGAACTGGTGAGTGAAGGGGGAAAAAAACCAAATACATTTAAGGAACCTTTTGAGGAATTTGCATCAAATGTTCATCAGTGCCTAACCAAAGGAGAAAAGACTCAGCCGATAAAACCTCGTGCCATGCACAATTTTTATGAAACGGGCGTCTGCTTATAGCAAAGATCAGAAAGGAATCTGTCGAAGGCGAACACAGGATCCAACTGAAGTTTTTGGTGAAGTTTGCGCATTTTCAGCTGCTGCAAAAGAAAAATTCAAAATATCGCTCTTGATTAAAAGAAACTTGCTTCTGAAGTCGGCGAAGAGGCTCTTTTTTTTGGGGAGGTGGGGCGTCCCAAAAAGACAACCCCTTTTGGGAAAACCTCAAATTTACTTGAGAAAAAACTGAGAATTAAGAAGCCAAAGGATGGAGACCAATGTGCCGGCCGCAGAGGAAGCTCGGGGGGAGACGGAGCCCACTGAATCTGCCCCCCCTGAGCCCATGGAGGCCGGCCTGGGTGGCCAGGAGGTGGTTGCTTCTGCTCTCCCTGCAGGGGCTGCCAAAGAGACCCCAGCCCACCTCGTCCAGGATGGTGCCCAAAGCGTCCCGCAGAAAGACGATGGCCGGGTTTCCCCTGTAGAAGCAGCTGAAGGGGGGCGAAAGGAGGGACCCCCGTCCCCGAGTGAGGAGGCCTCCCCTCTGCCAGCCCCTCCGGTGCCCACCGGCTGCAGCCCAGCTGAGGATGCCCCCAAGCCACGCCCGTCTCCAGCCAGCCAGCCCAAGGCGCCGGACTTCTACTGCGTGAAATGGATCACCTGGAAGGGCGAGAGGACACCGGTCATCATGCAGAGCGAAAACGGCCCCTGCCCGCTGCTGGCCATCATGAACATCCTTTTTCTGCAGTGGAAGGTAGAAGGGGGCCACGGGGAGGGGTCCCCAGCCAGGCTGCCCTGGAGCAGGCCTGAGAAGCAGGGGGCCTCAATTTTTCACTCCCCCCAGGTGAAGCTGCCTGCCCAGAAGGAAGTGGTCACCTCGGACGAGCTGATGGCTTATCTCGGTAAGGAGCCCCATGGCGGTTGGCACCACCTCTCCGCTCCCAGGCAGAGTGGTGGGCGCTACCCACCTCCTTCCGTCCCTCCTCCCCCTTTCCCCCCCCCCCCTCGGCACCACAATCCTGCGAGGTAGGGCCAGCGTAGAGCGCGCCCAAGGTCATCGCCTTCTGACGGCAGAATAATCCCGAGGGCTCAAAAGCTAAACCCGACAGGCGTTTGAACAGGACGGGATAAGGTCTCCTGCTGGAGGAGGGGGGGTCAGACTAGAAGACCTCTGGGGTCCCTTCCAGCCCTGGGATATTCTGTGTGCTCTCCTCCCCGCCACCAGTGGGAGGTCCTGCCTGACTGAGAGGGTCTCTGCCCCACTTCTGCCCCTGCAGGGGACTGCCTCCTGTCCATCAAGCCCCAGGACCAAGCGGAGGCCGTCCAGCTCAACTTCCAGCAGGTGAGTGGGGGTCTGCCTCGGAGGCCTTCCCTTCTGCAGCTGGCATCCAAAATGGTGCCAGGGCCCTTTGGGGGCCTCTTGGCTTCTGGGGCCCCTTCGGGAAAATG